ACGCCTGTATATCAACTCAGCAAATAAAAAATACGACGCATGAAGCATGATGAACTCCTCACTCTCTAGACTATAGAACATTGTTTCAGAAACTTCTAAGAAATTAATAAAGGACAAAACGATTATGATTTCGAATAATTACGGAAGAATAGAAGTTTTCCTTTTCAACAGAGGCAACCTATGTATTTTTTATTTGCTGAGTTGATATACAGTCGTACTCGTTGAAGAAAACAAGACTACTGTCCTAACTTGTTATTCTGCAAGTCGAGATTGAAGTCTAAAAGATCATTTGTTAGAACTGCATGAAATACAAGTGATGGACTAAGTTAGATGCTGGAAGAAAGTTTTTACATATCCAAAGATTCATGAAAATCTAATTTGAATCCAATAGAATTTTGACTGCATTTATCAAAATGAAAATTTTTCAATTTCTAAGTTGATTCATTCACATCCCATTCTAATAATTCTAAATAAGAATGCATTAGTAATGGACAAGATTAGACAAAAAAAGAATATTAACACAGCTTGATAACAAGAAGAAAAATTATATTAATATCAGTGGAAGACAAAAATAAACTAGATAGCTATGAACTCATATCTTGAATCAGTGAACGACATAACTGTAGGATATATATTCAAAGCGGAACTATAATTAAAATAAATTTAAAATGTGAAGAAAATGTGATAACTGAAACAAGCATACCAAGAAAACTTGATTTAGATGTCAACCACTTGTTATTAGTAGTCCAGAAGATGGTAATCTAGCTATATGTGATCAATGTCGTTATACATTTTGTAAAAAATGTTATGAAACATAATTTTCAAAAATATGTCCTAAAGATTATTCAATTGAACAAATGAAATTACTAAAACAGAAAGAACTGGAACTACTAAAAAAAGAAAAAAAAGTTGCATTAGCTCAATTAAATAGAACAAAAGAAAAGAAAAAAACTTTCAACGAACAAAGAATTAATACACAAACATATCGTCATATTTTTATTAAACTATCTGAACAAAATACTCTATTACAAGAAATATTAGCTGCTGAACGAATCAATACAGATGATATTCAATTTTGTCCTGAATGTCATATACCAATCGAAAAGAATGGTGGTTGTTCACATATGCATTGTACACGATGTAATTTCGATTTTACATGGCAAACAACACAAGAACCAACACAAACAGTTATTACTCCATATTTGGAACGTAATGATTCCACAGAAATTGAATCTATAAAAGAAGAACTCAACAAAGTAGCATACTTATGTTAGCAAAAAAAGAAAGCATTGCTGAATAGAAAGCTTTGCACTACAATGAAATATCAAACATGATAATTTCTTTTTAGTAACTCTTACAAGAAAGAATATTTGAATAATAACTGATCACAAACTGTAGGAAAACTTTCGATCGAAAAACAAAAGAAAAACAGGGTAACAGATAAAATTTTATCGCATATCTAAAGTAATATGGATTTAAGTGTTCCTACTAACAAGTCAGCAAGAAGTTTATATAATACTCAAATTGTTAGTTTTGTAATAGTTTTATATCTATATTTCGACTCATATTTATATGTATTGGCGAGAATGACATTAAACTATGTAGTTTCTTCATTGGCTTAGCAAATTACACTGTACTATATAGAAAGCGTTGCATTTAAGAGTAACAAAAACTATAATGATTTATATATATTATCTTACATTCAGTTGACACTCCTATGGAAGAAAAAATAAAACAACATGAAGAAATATCTTCTGATGAAGCACATGAACAAGAACAACAGAAAAATGACGATGACTTGAGCATTTTAATTGATAATGAATCAACTATTGGCTCATTTATACTGAACAGAGTAACAACATGTCCTAATGAAGCATACAGAAAAATTAATGTAAAAGTTACTCAAGATAATTGGATGCTATGCAGTGCATGTATGAAACAATTTTGTTTTCTATGTGGATCTGGTGTAAATGGAATAAATCATTTTGAGAAAAAATGTTTACGAAGTAGCCCAGTTTAAATAAAATTGACTTACTTAAGCTAATATTAGAATTTAGAAGATAATATGAAAATGCATACTATCGTGCTAAGTGAATTCACATTGAATAACCACAAGAAAATACTTTGTATAAATTTTAACTTTCAAATAAGGGTGCTTGCGGATAAAGAATATACCTACATCCATACCCGCACCCACACCGTACACAATATGCACACTTTAAGTTGATATAAAACCCTTTTCTAAATGTTTCATAGTTCAAGTGAATAAATTTTTTAATAAAATGGTATTTCTAAATTCCATACGGCGAGAAAGGATTAACATGTGAGAAGGAAGATACATAACAACGTGCTTTTTTGACGTTTGGTATTTTTTCTTTTCTTTTTTGTTTGCTGATTATGAAAGAAAAAAGATTAACAAGGCCGAAGAAAAAGAACAACGAAAGTTAAAAATATGTTAAATATACTTATCTAACTATGCGATTGTGTCCACAAAATACTGCCTGATATAAATTAATCTTTTTTCATACGATATACAACGAAAAACATGCGTCTGACAAGCACAGCATATTGATAAAACAGAAAAATATTAAAAAAGAAAAAAGAAAAATAAAGCACTTTTTCACCTTACTACGACAATAAAAGAATAAAGTAGTTGATCATTCATTGGATTGTGGTAGCTTGAAAAAGCGTAACAAAAATGTCTTTTCTCACTGGTTTTCTCGTCGCTTTCCTATTCGTCATAGTTGTTGCGTATATATGGCATATTCGAAAGGCTTACGATTTCTTCGTACGACTCAACATTCCAGGACCACCACCAACGTTTTTCTTTGGCAACTTTTTAGAAATCAATAGAACTCGAGGACTATCAATTGCTCTCAAGCAATGGACTGACAAATATGGCCACATCTTTGGTTATTTCGAGGGGCATACACCCATTCTTGCGATATCTGATCCAGACGTTCTCCAAGATGTATTTATTAAATCTTTTTCCAAGTTTCATACTCGCCGTCCGCCTCCTTTTGCGAATCAAGCAGCAAAGGATGTTAATCTGTTCAATGCTATCGGTCTTCGATGGAAACGACAACGGTTTGTTCTCAATCCGACATTTTCCTCGGTAAAACTCAAACAAATGTCACCATTGATTCATCACAGTATCAAAACGCTAATGACTAAAATTGCTGAGCAGTGTGGCAGAGATGAACCATTTGATATCTATGCATATTTTAAACGATTCACAATGGACACCATTTGGTCATGTGGTTTTGGTCTCGATACTGACATGCAAAATAATGTCAATGATCCGTATCTTCTCCATTCACAACAATTTTTTTTACCTGATAAGATTCGTCAATCCATATTTGTTTTGAATCGTTTGATAGAAGAATTGAGCAAAGTGTGGGTAAGTATATTTCTATCACTTGGCATTATTCGCTATTGGCTTCGGCGGTATATTCCCGTGACAAAGTGGCTTATCAACGAAAATCCCGCTACATGGGTTATGAAACAAGCCAATGAAATGATTGAAAAACGTAAACAAATTGGTCATACTCATCGAACAGATTTATTGCAGTTGATGCTCGATTCCATATCTGATGAAGATTTCATTCGCGTAAGATTCGCTTTCAGACTGCTTTCAATATTATCATCATGGGTAGTTTCGTAACACTTGTGCTTTTATATTTTCAGGATCATTCAACATCGTTCGAAAAAACTGAAAATACTGAGATCGAAGTACCTCTGGTTCGAAAAATTACCAAACATGAGATCTCTGCCAATATTTTCCTTTTTAGTGTGTAAACCAACCTCTCGCGTTCTAGCTGTAATAAAATTTCGTTTTTTGTGTTGCAGTGATTGCCGGTTATGAGACGACGAGCACAGCTCTTGCTTACGCGGCATATATTCTCGCTACCCATCCAGAAGAACAGCGAAAATTGCAAGAGCACATCGACACTCATTTTAATCCAGAAACAGAAGACATTATGCCGACATATGAAATCGTCTCCGAAATGGACTATTTGAATATGTTCATTCAAGAGACTCTTCGCATGTTTCCCATTGCGCCTGTGGCTATTACTCGTCAGAGCACTGAGGATTTTTCTATCCAAGATATTGGTGTCGTGCCAGCGGGTACACTAATTACAGTTGACATGTACAATTTGCATTATAATCCGGATTTATGGGGTCCCTTAGATCCGAACGAGTTTCATCCTGAAAGATTCGCCACAAAACGACATCCAATGGCATGGATTCCGTTTGGAGCTGGGCCACGCAATTGCATTGGCATGCGCTTTGCTTTGTTTGAAATGAAAATATTACTTGTTCGACTATTGAAAATGTACACACTGATCGATTGCGGTGAGAAAACCCATAAACCATTTCAACAACTCGAAGAAGTAGTTGTCATCGCCCCCACAGAAGTCTTTGTCCGGCTTCAACGCAGAGACGAACAGCATAAATAACAAATTATTTTACACTATACAATATAAAAATTAATTATTTAAACACTATGTGATACTTATCTTGTGAAGTATGGTGTGGGTGTGGGCCTGTTTTTCTTCTATCATCGACACTCACACCCAAAAAAGCCGCAAACCATATTTAACATTATATAAATTTGCAGTATAAATTCATGAACTTTTGGATATAAACTATATTGTGATTTTCTCTGTTGAATTACAATGAATTATCAATAAGAAAGAATAGTTCCTTATGAGATAAAGTTATTTTTCTTATGAGTTCTGATTCATGCTATCAAAAAAATCAAGATAATAATTGATGAAAAAAATAATAACGCTTTTGTTCGGTACTAAATCACATAAGCTATTCCTATTGTAATTATTGTTGCAAAAATAAATGATAACATAATTCAGATCTTTAGGAATGGGAAAAAGATAAATATTTCTATTCTCTTTTATTGTTTGTTATGCTCTATAGAAAGATAGTTTGCTATAGCTTCTTCATTCATAGATAGAAAGAGAAAAAAAATTGTTTTGCTTTTTCTGCGTTTTTTTTTTTTTATTGTCAGAATTACTACACACTTTTCAACATTTATTTTAAAACTGAAATCAATGAATGGATGCAACCATTTGTATGATAATATCATGTACTACTTATGTTTTCGTGAAAGATCAATGTTTACGATTCTGCTATATAATTATTATAGTCGAAAGACATACAAAAAAGAGGAAAAAAATATGAACGAAAAATATCCCAAGAAGTTTGTTTTTGATTAAACATATATTGAAATGTTTATGGTTTTCTGGGAGTACTGATTTTGAAAAGTATTTGTTTTTTTTCTCTTGTAGAAAAATAAATATACAGAAAAAAAGAAATAACATCGATTATGTCTTAAAAGAAATTCATGAGCAGTATTTTACTTTTAACTAAATTATAGCAAGTAGAAGAATATAGTTAGAGTGAAAACGAGCGTGTAGCATATAAAACTGCAACTCATATAATGAATTTTGTGATGCTTACTCTAAATAAGAACAATTAAGAAAGAAAGTCGACACATCGGATCATCGTCGCAGTGTCATTGATAATAGCCTGCAAAAATACACTAAAAGTCTTATATTAACACTGTCGTAACAAAGACTTCTGTGACAGAAACAGTAGCTTCATAATGCCATTTATTAGAACAAAACATTCACAATCTAGTTAATGACATACAAATCGATAAAGAATATTTTTTCATCTATACTCATGTTTATTGTCAACTAAGGATATTGATAACTGTAAAGATTAACTAACAATGATATGTTCAATATACGACGTGACTAAAAAATATATTTCTTACTTAAAACAAATAAAAACAAAAATTAAGCATTAATAATAATAAACAAGCTAGTTGATCAAATCTATTAGTTTATATTTTTTTGCTCATGCAAATATGTTTAACACAAAACAAAATTCATAGAAAAAAGTAAAACATTTCATATATATTTTTTTCGCTTTTCTTCTGTCATAATAACAATTCTCATTCAAGAACGCATTCATGTATATTTTTATTTAGACCAACAAGTTCTTCATATTACAAGTTATCATCAAGAAAACCTAGATGTCTATTGGAAGATCGTCTTTATGATCCTGTGGTTTTAGATTTTAAATCAATTGAATCAACATATTTACGTGTACTTATTGGACTAGGCATATTATTTAATTTATTTTGTCTATTTATACTTTCTGGGCCGAAAGGGTGTAGGTGTGGGTATGAGTGAAGAAATGAGCTACACTCACACCGACACGCACACCCTCTCTCATCTGAGTATACTCAGATGAGAGACCTGAGCGCATTATCTTCCAGTAAAAGGGACCGAAGGAATTTTGTGCAACTCTTTCTAAACCTTGGAATCATTCATTATGTTGATAAATACTTGAAATTATTGAGGAAATGTTGAATCCATTTATACATAGTCTTGAATAGTATCATTGGTTGATTATGACACCCGAAACACAGTATTCTTCCATTATTCGTGTGTTAACTACTCCGTAAATCATAACATATTATTCGCCATTTTGAGCAGCAGAAACCCAGAGACTATCGGGCTTATTTTTTCGGAATTTATTTCTTCAAAATTGATTACTTATCAAATATTCAACCAGGCGACGTTCTGCAGACCTACACAGGTGTGGATGTGGTTGCTGGTGTAGCAAAGAACTACACCCACACCCACACTTTTCTTTGCGGCTAACTACGTCATTGTTACAGAGCTCACCACAATCGAAACTAACCCCGACTCCAATCGTTCTTTGTTGAGAATCAAAAATATAGTGAACCACCAATTCAAGCACCTAGTTATTAGGATATTTGCTTTCGTGATGAATAATAAGGCTTGAATAATATTTGATTAGGTAGGTGAATCGAAGCCTATACCAAGAAATACCATAATAAAATGCTCTAAAGAGTTTAAATCAATTAGTTCAATAAGGTGTGAGTTGAAGGGAATAGAAAGTAGTTTTACAGTGTATCTTTTCACATTTCAGCTACTGATTAACTGAATGAAAAAAAAAATGCATGAAGAAAATATTTGCAGGCATATATCACACGAGAGAAACCATCACTTTTCCCCAGGGAATAATATTCGTTGATTTTAATCGGATTTTTCTACAACAAAATCAATATTAAAATTGATTGA